GGTAGGGTATCAGCAGTGAACAGTTTGGGGGTTGGTGGGCAACTAACTCACTAGTGAGATGATGTTCCTGGTGCCCCAACCTGTGCAATGCCCAGGGCCTGCTGTGTTCAGCCTTGTAGTCCTTCATGTGGAGCACTGCAGCCTGCCTTTCACTTTATAACCATCCGCCTGCACACCCTGCCTGCATCTGTGGCTGTTCTCCCTGTCCTGGTCTTCCAGAGTGCTCTTATCCTCATTGCCTTGCATGGGGGCACTTAGAAATTTGCTGTTATGGCTGTTCAGCTGGGTTTTGTTGAAAGTCATTGCCATCGCCATGTGAGTTGCCTTCCTTCCTCCCTCTACATTTCATGCCCCACTTCATAATTTTTACTTTAAAGCCATATATTAGGGAGCAAGGAGATGGTAGTAGATAAGAGTTGTTCAGATAGACAATTAACATTTCCCAGTAATGTACACACACAAGGCTCAGCAGCAAATTAGAGCTGCAAAAGCTGTTCCAGATTGAAGCATGTGTCAGTCAACTCTATTAGTGCAATGAGGGAGGGAAAGCAATGGCAAGATCAAGATGTAACTGCAGTTCCTTTGAAAATGGTATTTGCAGGCAATGCTTCACTGGAGAGGATGCCCTGAAGAGAATGCTCATCTGGAGGGACCCCTGTCACTTCCCATCTAGATTGGCCACTTAGGAGCACATTCCCTTTTTTTTTTTCCCTTCTCTTTCTTCCCCTTCCTTCCCTTGTATATTTGTTTGGGTTTTGTTTTGCCCAAGTGGTAGAGTTACTGTTACAGTTGCTGTATACCATGAGTTACGGACCCCATAAATAAATCTTTGTGCCTGTAAACCTATTTCATCACGCTTTGTGCAATAGCGAGAACTACTGGTCTCTTTCAGAAGAAGACCAAACAGGTGGATTTAACCACTTGTCAAAGATTTAAACATTCATAAACCCACTCAACAGGTCTCAGCTCAGATCTGATTGATCAGAGATAGTTGCTTAAACTGTCTCCTGTGTGTGCTACATCAGAGAGGTTGAAATGCAAAGTCAAATGTTTTGGTTTAAGGTAGTATCACCTTGATTGGTTTAAACTCATGTTTGACTTGTTCTGTCTCAGTCAAATGTGAGAATTTTAATAAGATTCAATCTTCAGCTATTAGTGAATAAACAGATATTAGATATTACTGAATAACAGCTATCACCTGCTATCTGGGAGGCTTCGATGCGGTGTGATCTGCCCTCCACCACCACAGCCAGGGCCACTGACCACTCTCATGTTTGTGAAGCCGTGAAGCACAGATTGCAGGACTGGCACTCTTAGCAGATGACTTTGAGTGAAATACACTCTTGAAAGTTTTCCACAGGGGAATGAGGCACTGCCATGCTAAACCATCTGTGCAGACTTGCCTTTCTTTACCTTTGTGTAAAACTTGACCAGACTTCAGTGATCTCCAACCTCTTCACTCAGGTATTCCAGACAGAGCAGCCCCTTTGGGGTCAAAACAGCATTGAACAGAAGTACCTAAATGTTTTGATAGTTGGTGCTGCAATGCCTAAGGGGTGCTTGGCCCCAGGAAGGAATTCAGGTGAAACACAGGGTAAAATCTGGCTCTTCATCAGGATTCATAAAAGCTGGTGTGCTAAGACATAGATCATCTAAACTCCAAAAAGTGATCTGTCTTTCTCCTTCCTTAAGGAGAAGATGCATTTAGCACTTGTGTTATAGTTCCTGCACCTGGCCAGAAAGGGAGATCAAGAGTTTCTGGTCCTTGATTTTTTGACTACTTCTGGTTTTAACCCAGTAAGAATTAAAAACAGCATAAAGAGTCCTCTGTCTCTGTTGCGGAGGCTCACGAAATCAAATTAGGCAGGTGACAGATTCAAAAACAAACTTTATTTAAACCAAAATTGTTTGGCAGAAAACTAACTAGAAATGAGGCTTCAACACTCCAACAACATCAGTAAACCACAGGTTCAGGATGGTGTACGAGGGATTAATACTGCACAGCCAGCTTTAGCAATGAGGATCCAAAATGTGCACACTCACTCACCTATAAGATGAGGGCTCTCAACCTCGAAGAGTGTCCTTGGGCAGCGTCCCGACCCAAGGGGAGACACCCTGACCACAGACCCGCTGCTCCGAGGAGGACCAGCTCACCTTGCCCTCCAGCGGGGCTCCATTTATACCCTGGTCGAATCTGACCTGTGGTCAATTCTGATTGAGGGCCTTGACTTCCTTACCCCTCGCCCGAGGTGTGTACGTGACCATAATTACTGGCCGTAATTATGGTACTGGCGTGTACATGATGGTCAGCACCCGCCACTGTAAAGGCGTGAAAATAAGGGCGCGAAAAGTCAGGACGCAGCAGTCTGAATGCCCCCGGTCTTTGTCAGGGCGGGTGCACCTGCCACAGTCTCTCCACCAGTATCCAAAGTAGAGCCAAGATCCCCTTCATCTTTGTGGATTAGCCATCATCTTTCTCTAGGACTTCAGCTTCATTTGAAGGAATAACCTGAATCGCAGCATACTCTTTTCATCTGAATTAGTGTAATCTAAATGGATTCACATAAAAATAGGAGATTTTGAAACCCACATATTCCACATTCTGGCTGATACCTCTAGTCGTTAACCTATTTTTACTGCTAGAAACATTGTGTACATCTATCAGATATGGCTCCTTCAGGATTGTACTAAGTGCCAAATGATCTTACGCAGAAGACACGTATGTACATCCATTCAGCAAAGTGGGTGATGTTCCTGGGTGCTCAGGGAAGTTTCTGTCTGCTGCCTGGAAGATTAGATGGTGGCTGGAATAGATTTCCTGAATTAACCTCTTAACCGCACTGACTTGTCATTGAATTAAAGTATATGCTTTGCCAAAAGTTCTTTCTTAGTGCTTTTTCCCATTGCTCATAGGAAAAATAGAAATAATTAGAGGGTCCTGGTTCCCCTTTTGTCCTTGTTTTCTGTCAGTGTGAGTCCATGAATGTCAACAGTGTTCTTCAATTTATCCTGCTGAAGACAACCAGGCTGAGGTTGTCAAGACTGCAGAATAAAATGCAGCTGCTGCCACATTACAGTCAGCGAGTGTGTGTGTGTGCGCGCACATTAATTGTAGTGATGACTTCTGATTTTGCAAAGCAGACCCAGTGTTTGACCAGTGCAAAGAGAAATAGTTACACCTGTAGAGTGAAGGCATAGAGAAGGATATGCTTCCACATTTGTGGTAAAAACAGAGGAAATATCTGGATTTATATGTCAGTACCCAAAAGTACCTGCACCTCCAGCAGGCTTTTACCTTCCAATGCTGGTTTGCGGTGCCAATCATGTTTTAGCTCCTATCATGAAAGAAAGCATCAGTGGAGAAATTTACCTTTAGAAGCATTGACATATGTGGGCTTTCCATTTGGAAGAATTATGAGGAAAAAGTAAGGGCAAAAATGCGACTTTCCCAGTCCTACACACAAATATTCTAGTGGGGCTGAAATTGCAAATGTGTTTAAGGTGCATCCAAAACCTAAGTCACATAAAAGAGCACACACATGGCTATATGTAAGTCCTGATTTGTCCACAAATCCTTGGTGTTACACAAGTGATGCTGAGCAAGAAATAGAGTCCTGAAAAAGATGGGTGCGTCTGGTTACATCAAGCACGTATTTCGTAAAACACTAATTCACGGAACTCAAGGGAAACCTTGGCCTTAACAAAACACTCCAGAATATTAATGGGCACCAAAATTTCTGTCTTAGTGCTGCATCCGACAATCTGTCATTCAGCAGACATTTAGGATGTGGTTTTTTCCCACACTGCTTTTAAAGTGATGTAATTATTTTTGGTGATGTCAACTGGCAGAGGAAGCAACAATGAATTTTGGCCAGCATTATTTTTGACAGCCTATGCTGAAATGAAGCAGGAGAACTTGTGAAAAACTGTATGCCCTTTGGGTGGCGCCTACTGCAAAGCATTTGATTTCTTTTCTTACACAGTAGAGCTGAGAAAGGTCCCAGCCTGGCGCTGGCTGGGTGGGCTTTCAGTCCCTGGCTCTTTTGGGTACTGCTGGGAGAGGGTGCTACCACAGAGCATCAGGGATACCTGGTCTGCAAAGAGGGGTCAGAGAATAGGACATGAATAGCTCCTATTTATAAATGCAGTTTGGATTTGGTAAGTGTCATTTGCCTCTTTGGTTTTTGGTTTTATATGGCTACTGGGAAAAAAAGCTGTAAACATATTTTATTAGTTATTCAATTTATTATTTTTTTAAATACTGTTGATGTGTACACCCATGAATAAAACAAGTCCTTGCCTAGTCTCACAGTTAAAAGAACAGAGAAAACATCAGTTTGCTTTCTTTTTCAGGGTGTAGTAGCATGTTTACATTACCTTAACAGACACTGGTAGGCTAGGTGGGAAGACCAGGTTCTAAGAAAGGCTTTGAAAGCGTAATTACAGTTTGACATCAAAAGCTGGCACACCTGCTCCGGGGTGTAAGTATGTGGGCTGTTAGATCTTGGGTCAGATCTGATTCACCAGTGATTTTCACCCATAAGGACCTGGGGTGGGTGGGGAACATATGGCACGAGCGTAGCCGGGCTCCCCTCCCACCCGACCTGCCAGGCCAGCAGAGCCAGCAAAGGATGTTGTAATGTGCTGCTGGATGTGCTAACACCATCCTGCCAACAGCTCCAGCTCAAGGGAGTTGAAAGCAGGTCTCTCTCTGAGCTTGGTTTCCTGGAATTGTTTTAGAGTTGCTTCAGTTTAGACATACTGGTGTTCAGCTCTGCCCACAAAGTCTCCTCTTTTTTGTAATCCAGAGCATAAATGTTGCATGTCACTGGTATTTATAATATATCATGCAGCAACATGAAACATGATACGCACTTCTAAGCAGCTGTGATGTGCCAGAGTACAATGGCATAACAAGGTTAGCCGTAAGCCCGCTTATTCATCAATTTATAAAATCAGTCTCTAGGAAAAGAGAATACCAAGAAAAGAAACGCAAGGAGTTCATTATCCAACACAGAAGACTTTATTTACAATTACACATAAGGATCTCAGAAAGAAGAGTTTGAGCTTTATTTGTATTGAGTTCATTAACATTTCTAATAAATGTTTATCCTGCACTGTTTGAACAAATGTAAATACTTAACATTAGCCTTAGTAACATGAATTAACAATAACTGTAACCAATGCTTTGGACAAAATAACTACTAGTTATAATTCAAGTGCAGTTTAGGTGCTGAACATAGTTTAAAAGTCCAAACCTGCATTGAGATCAATGAGATTATACATACGAACAAACGTATTTGTGTGCATGCAAAATTGGGCCCTGAGACATTTAAAATCATGGCCTGACTTGCTGAATCACTGCTGCTGGAGCACTAAACAACACTAGTAGAGCAAACGCTAACTTGCTGAGAATGGACTTGAAGCCAAAGAAAATAAAGCTGAAATGTTAGTGTATCAAAAATGACAGAGGCATTGCTGTTGTTCCTTTGGTGAAAAGATCTCACCTTTAGGTTCTGGCACAAAAGACTAGTTTTATTATGGAAACTTGGTGTCAGATCTTGAACCACAGCAGAGCTGTACATGTTTCAGAGAAGAAGGTGACAATGACTTTTGTGGTCTTCATACTTTTTTGACCAGGCCATAGGACTCTAGGGATGCCTTCAATTGTATCAAACTGTCCCCAGACTACTATGAGAACAGAGCATCACATATGACACCAGCAATAATGTAGAGATGAGAAAAAGGTCTTATTTTTCATTGACTAGCAAGCAGCATGAGTAATCAAATGCTTTGGCTCTCTAAGTGAGAGCAGAGCTTCCCTTGAGTGCCATGCCTCCTTCACGTCTCCTGCCCTGTTACTTGGCATTTCCAGCTCATGGCTGGAAAAATGAGCGTGCAGCCATCTACCACATAGACCTTGCCTTCAAGAATAATCTCTTGGGATTTCTGTGATTGATCAGCTCTATTGATAGCTACACAACTTTGTCCACAAGCAACACGGGATTAAAACAACAGCATTTTAGTCTATTGGGTTTTCCCTTTTATTTCCAAAGGGTGAAAACACCTTACTAAAGATACCTGGCGAAAGATATTGTCCTTTACTAGCAAGATAAATCTTTCTGGTTTAAAGCCCATTGTAGCACTATTTCCAAACACCAGGCTATGAGAAGCTGGCCATTTTTTATCTTCCTTTTTCTTTGCAGCTCTTATTTAAGAGGACAAAAGATCCAAGAAGAAATCTTCGAAAATGCTGAACTTAGGTTCTTCAGTGGGTCCATGGGAAAAAGAGAGACCCCACAACACTCAATATCTGACCCATCGACTCTCATTTCTAAGAGATAGCATTCAGATTAAATGAAAAAGTAAACCATTTATGCAGATGGCAGTGTTTGCTACCTGTCTACAGGCTGATGCACCTCATTAAACAAATGGTTGCACAAATTTCCTTGTGGCAGATGGTTTATCGTAAAGAATTGGGGCTACTTGTTTTAATTTATGTTCTTCTATAGCAAGGAAGTGGAACCCCCTGATGTTTGATCAAAATCATTAGCTCAGTCTTTCCTGTGTCTGGAGCATTCTGGAATATTTTATCCTGACCCTAAAGGTGACATATGAGATCATTCCCTAAGGGAGACCTTGGGCAAAGTGGGGCAGAGCAGAGGCCGGTGTTCAAGCAACAGCCAGAAAGAAAAGCACGCAGGAGGCAACAGTAAGAGCAGTGGAGCAGGTTGGGAGTTAGGGAGTAGCTCAGGTTGCTAAACAGCTGTGGAGCCAAATGTTGATGAGCTCCATCAACATATGAATGACTGTGGTATGTCTATGAGCCATCTCCATATAAAATGTATAAACCACATATTTTAGTAAGTCTTTTATTAACTTCATGTACTACAGTTAGTAACTTTACATAATAAACTTCACATTCAACGCAAGTCACATCCCTGAATAGACGACAGAGAGCAGTTCTATTGCAGCAGCTTCCATTCTTTGAAGGAACAGAAAGAAACATTGCAATGAGAGCATCTAGAGCACGGCATGAGCTCAAAGGTGTTGTCATTCCCAGCCTGTGCTCAGAGACAGAACATCAGCAAATGGCTTTCATTTGTCTTGCAAATCCCAGAAGAAAAAAAGTAGCAAGCTGCATAAATGGCAGAAGGTGGACTAAAATCCAACTGCATCTCAACTTCAGTCTGCTTGCATGTCATTTAAAATTTGTAAAAAGGTTCAAATAATCAAAGTTATTTGAAAACATAGTTTCCATGGTGGCCTCTTCAGTGATGTCAGAAGTGTGGACCTTTGGAAACATCAGCTTATTTGGGTTAGTGAGTTGGTCTTCTCAAAATGGAAAAGCATGTTGAATTCCATAGCACGTGGACTGACTGTGCCTTGAATCATACCTTTTGTCTCTGAATTTTAACATGCTGCTTGGCTGAAATTTCAATTAAACATTGTCTACCTCTGAAGTCTTTTGTCACCTGTAGTGAAATAAAATCAGAATTCAGCATGTGATGAGGTAAGTCTTCTTAAAAATGTCTCTTTACTACAGCATACTTTTCACCATAACATTCATCTCTCTGCAGTTCTTTTAAATCACTTCAAAAATGTGTTTGTTTCCCTAGATGTCAGTGCATTAATCCACCACTTGGTTATTCAACCCACGATGGGAGTATATTTAGTCTTAGTGGGCTAGGTATGTTCAGGAGATGTTTAGACTAACCTGACAGTGATGCACGACTGAGAGAAAGAAGTGAGAAACCCTATCCAACACTCGATAAAAAATGTCATTTACAGTGGGTTCTCTGAACCCCAGACAGGGGTATGTCCTGGAAGAGCACAGGAATCTGCAGCTGTGTGGTCTCTGTCCCAGAGACGTACTAGAGGGCACTTCTGAACAGTTTAGCAGTCTTGGATAAAATGTCTATTTTCATAAACTCATAACAATTATGTTGTGTTTTGGAATAAAAAAATTGCTGGTCTTCTGACACAGTTCCCAATACCCTCTCCTGGGTGTGTTAAGAGCATCCTGAAAGATTAAGGCTGGGAAGAGAATTTGAAAACATTAGCTAAATTATCTGGATGATTTCCCACAGAACAACTGCTGAATTTACTAGCACTTAAAAAAAAAGAACAGCTAAATAGGTAATGATTCTGAACTTCTTGAAACCCTGAGGAAAAGTTACTGCTGAGGACTGAGCGGTTAGTACTTACTTACTTATTTTAATTTCTTTGATCTGCATATGAAATAGGAACCCATGAATGCAAGGAACAGCACAGAACCTGTGATCATTAACACCATCTGCAGCACACTCAGCATCTGGACTCGACCGGTGACTTTACTTCTGAACATTTCTGCTTTTGCATCCCCAATAACAGCAGACTGAAACAGTGCAAGAAAAATGTCAGTGAAAAGTAAGTATGCAAGCCCTCACTTGCTGAATATATTCTTGGTATGTGCAAATCACAGTGTGAGTTTAATTGCCCAATTTCAGGGCTCCAAGACTGAAAAAGCTAGGTCGTTTGGGTTTTTTTTCTTTTTTTTTTAAACAGTGAAGATTAATAGACAGAAAATATACTAACCTCATTTAGCCAAAGAAGAGGAAAAACATAAGGTTTTTTAACTTTTGATAAAGCTCTGAAATGAGAAAATAAGTACAGCATGTTACCTTTAGTCTGGTGCATAAGCCCATTCTCTACTTAAACATTTTTCTTCTCCTCTAACTACATTTCTACTTCCAGATGTACCTTTTCAGTATAGTTTTGGACTGAAAAGAAAATAACCCTACAATTAATAACAGACATTTTACATGTTGGGCAACCATCTCTCTGTCTAGTCTTCCATATGTGGGTAGTCAGAAAGAAGAAAGACTGGACACAGCTAGGTGTTGGTGGGAGGGTCTGAAGGTCTGTGTGGTGCTCACCTGCCAGATGTACAGGATCCTGAAATGCACATCTGTACATGTACATTTGGGCCAATTAAGAGAAAAGAAACAGCTAGACACTCACCAGCCCTTGTGATAAAATCCATCTAGTGACAGAGCGTACTTAAATTCTCTCGTTAGATTTACTACAGAAAATACATTTTGCCTTCTATTTCATCCTCATGGCCCCCATTTGGGTTTTGTAAGAATGTTATTTTTAAGAACATGTTGCCTTGTAAGCTTCTGTGGGGAAATCAAATGTGTGTTAAAATACTTGGGCAGTGCCTTGCTCAAGAAGGCTTGCTCTTCTGCTGAAATATGTTCTCTGAAAAGTCATGACTGAAATTTTTGCAAGAAAGACGAAAAGGCTTTGGGAAAGTATTTTTATTCTTTCTTTTCCCAGCCATTTCTACTGATGCTCTCGTAGACCAATCAGCCCTCTTGGAAAAAAGTCTTCAAAAACAAAATAATGAAGTAGTACTTACTCAATTTTTGGTGCAGGCTTCACAAGGAGGTTTACTTGCAGCCTTTTCGCAAATTGTAGTGTAAAACCAGTGATCTAAAACCAGAAGAAAAACCTACATTAATTTAAGTTTTTTAATTAGATGCCTAAGCCTAGAATATGGACTGTGTCAAAAAGTACTCTGGTATTATTTTATCCTTATGTTTTGAAGGATTCCACTTATATGAAATTTTATGTTTGTAAGGGTCTCTCATTTCTCATAAAGTTCTGATTTTGTGGCTTTACCATAGTTACTTTTGTAATTTGCAATTAAAACTGAAGGCAAAAAATGATTAAAAATACTAAATCAGTCATGAAATGTTTCATATAAAAATATGTTTTAGTTTTTTTCCCACCAGAAATTAGCTATTTTTTTTTTTCCAGTAAGAAGGATGTTTAACTTGCATAGGGCCAAAACAAATATTTCATATCAGAACAAAGGTCAGATCTTTTCTTCATCTCCTTCTTTTCCCCTCTGTCCTCCACAAGAACAAGATGGTGTGATTCTTGAAAATTTCATACCAGATTTAGGAAATTCTGCTTGATGTCTCTATTCCAAATAAGGTGAAACAAAGATTTAACTTTAGGTCTCCTCATTGAAATCACATAGCTTAACTGTTAAATTATATGACTAAAAATATTTTAGTGACAAATCCTGAATTTTACCTTTTCATCCAAATTCAGAGCAAAATAAGATTTTGAAACCTTAGAATTCATCACATAATTCAGAAACCTTTGGTAAATACACTTAAAGTTAAGAATCTGAATCACTGGAACAGAAGTAGAAGTAAAATTGGAGGCAATCAAAATCAGACTGCTCATAAATTCATTCAGTTTGGGAGCTCTGTTGGACACAAAGTCACAAAGACTATATTAGGTCTGTTCTAGACTAGTCTGTTCAGACTTCTAGCAATTTTCTTGGAAATAAACCGATCTATATTTATTTAATTTCAATTGAGATAGTAATATACAAAAATGGTTAGTTATCGAAAATGAAAAAAATTAAGTACAGAGGGAACAGAAGAACTTTAATAGAAAAGAATTTTCTCAAAGTACTTGAAGGTCATAGAAAAGCTATAGCATACTTCAAAGTTCAAAGAATCCATTTAATCCCACATTCCTAATAAGGAAAAATCAAAACTTATTGTCCAAACTTGGAAGGTCAGAATGAGACAAAGTTCTGCTCTAAATTTCCCCTGCTAAAACCATAACACTCTTGTGAGCAGATTTACCTTTTCATCCAAATTCAGAGCAAAATAAGATTTTGAAACCTTAGAATTTATCACATAATTCAGAAACCTTTGGTAAATACACTTAAAGTTAAGAATCTGAATCACTGGAACAGAAGTAGAAGTAAAATTGGAGGCAATAAATCAGACCTGTCATAAATTCATTCAGTTTGGGAGCTCTGTTGGACACAAAGTCACAAAGACTATATTAGGTCTGTTCTAGACTAGTCTGTTCAGACTTCTAGCAATTTTCTTGGAAATAAACCGATCTATATTTATTTAATTTCAATTGAGATAGTAATATACAAAAATGGTTAGTTATCGAAAATGAAAAAAATTAAGTACAGAGGGAACAGAAGAACTTTAATAGAAAAGAATTTTCTCAAAGTACTTGAAGGTCATAGAAAAGCTATAGCATACTTCAAAGTTCAAAGAATCCATTTAATCCCACATTCCTAATAAGGAAAAATCAAAACTTATTGTCCAAACTTGGAAGGTCAGAATGAGACAAAGTTCTGCTCTAAATTTCCCCTGCTAAAACCATAACACTCTTGTGAGCAGATCTTGCAAAAGCAAGCACGAAAATATTGTATGTTCTGCTTGTCCGTCTGGTAAAAGGCCTACTCTACTACAACTAAATTTAAACATCGCAAGGTTCCTGAGTTTCAATTATTCAATATTTGGACTTACAGGCTCTACATCTAGAAATGTGTCATGCTCCTTCTCATTTGGGCTCAGGCCTTCGACATCATGCAACAGAGAATCACTTCCATGAAGAAAATGTGGAAGAGAGATAAATACCGGTCTTCCTATTTGAAAAAACAAACTCACTTGAATCATTAAGCCTTGTGTCAGTGCTCATCATCTGAGGCCATTTTCCATGCAAACATAGTTTTTTATATAGACACACAATCCTGACAAAAATGTTAATAGCCCCACCCCCCAAAAAAAATTTGAGCATTTCTGTGATTCTACTGTCATGAGGAAAATTTGCAAGGTGAAATAAATTGCAGTTGTAAATCCTGCTTGTCTGTGTCCACACTGTGGAGCTGGCAGTGCTCCCAGTTTCACGCTGAGGTGAGGACCTGATTGTCACTGTTTCCCCCCACCTGCATGATCTTGTTTTAGTAGAAAGCAAGCCTTAATGGAACCCATGCTGTCCACTCTGCACCAAACACAGACTCTGTATATATTTATTTTATTAAACCAACACTAACTTTAGCAAAGAGTGTCTCTCAATCTCTGCATGTGTATATAGTTGGGTACACACACACACACACACTGTGTGTGTGAATTATGACAAATACAAGGACTGTGACTGTCTCTGGCTTTTATACAGTGCCTATAGAATCCTTTTCTTTCCTTTCTATACATGCATTCCTGCAGTTTCAGTATACAATCTGCAGCATCACGATTTTGCACAGCACTATGTGAAATACAGAAATACTATAGACCTCATTTTGGGAAATGAGGCTACCGAAAAGTAAAAAGTCTCACAGGCAATCTGTGGAAGAATTCACAAGCACGAACGTCCTGGATCTTAGAGTAACACCTCAGCTGCTGGACACGTGCTTTCTCCCCAGTTAAATGGCTTGTTTGACAGTACCATGGCACTACTATACCTGCTTTGCAGGCACTAATGTCTAGGACTCCAGCTAATGTGCAGTTCTTTGATATGACTTCATCTGTACAGAAGCAAGAATTATCTCTGACTTCAGCAGGAGATGCAAATGCTTCACGAGGAACTGTGAAACGATAGAGTGAGATTCCCTTCACATCCTCCTTGCCCTGGAAAACTCCATAGATCGATCTGAATATAAAAGAGGAGAAACGTGTTTCAGTCATTTGGATTAAAAATCTGAATTCATGGCAATACTCCTCAAGGATCCCTCAACTGTCTGTCTCTTAAAAGAAACAAGTACTCCAGAGAGCCAATGTCCAGGCTCCCTTCACACTGTTCAGCCGTTTGTAGGGGTGTTCCTCTGTAACAGTGAATATTCCACACTTTCACAAAAGGATGTACAAGCTCAGAGGTGAACATGACAATACACAGAGACAGACAAAAATACTAATGCTACTAATAAACAATACACACAAAACTAACAAATTAATTAAGAGCTCTTTTCTCTATACACTTCTACACCGACTGTTATGAAATTTTTGAAAGTTTTTGGACTACAGTGGAGATGCTTAGCAATATAAATCAGCTCTGCTATAGGTTTTTGCTGACCTGATGATACTAATCTAAGCTTTATGATAGAGGCAACATTCTGCATATAACCTTATTCCATTGCATACGAATCAGAATACCACTTAAGCTTCATTTTGCTGATACATTATCAGCTGATACGGAGATATGGTTGTTACACAGTAATGTAACCAGGGCAGCAACACTTTGTATTGCAGCCAAACAAAAGAAGGATTCTGGGTTTTGCAACATGGACAGAACCATTTTCCATGGCCCCATTTCAGCACGACCTTTGGGCAATTGTTACTGTCCTTCTTCATTGTTCGTTAATTGTGAGAATTAAATGGCCAGAGGGATCTCTCAAACTGTGCAATCGATCCAAAGAATTTTATCATTTCTCCTTTGTGTAGAATTCCCTTTTCCATGAATTATGAAATGCTTTCCAGTTTGGGGATACAATTACATCACAAAAAAAAAGAACTTTAACTTCATGTAAAAACACTGATCTTTAAAAACAAACAGTCTGCAAAGCAAATGGACCACTTTAAACCTAGTTAAAAGGAAGCAGCTGTTTCCAGGCAGCAAAATAAATAAAGGGGTTGAACCTCGCAAAGTAAATACACTGTGATGCACTTTAAATCTTTTAACATTGCTTTCAGCGATCCCACTGGAGAACTCGGGGACACTGGATAGCCACAGCAGAAGCAGCAGGCTGAAAAGCCATCAGTATGGGATGTATTAAGCAGGTTTGTTTGGTTGTTTGTAAATACATAAAAATAAAATATTTAAAAATATCCTGTGAGAAAACAATTTTAAGTATCTAGTGGATGACAGTAAATCCTGTTCTGCATACATGATGTTCTGCAGAAATGCCAAAGCTGGTCCCTGCTGTACCTATTGCCTTCTCAGACCAAGTAAGGCAGGTTATAGGCTGATCTTAGAAGTTGCTCAAGACTTTGAACCCTGTGGCCCTCAATGTCTTTCATAGATCTGTAACAGCTCACAACAGAGTCAGATATTCCTGAATTACACATCTGTAACTGGCTGAAATAAAATAGACCGTAAATAGCTTGCTACTTGACCTAAATAAAAGTGGTAGAATCAGGTTCTGAATCATGAGCACAGCTCACAAATTTACTTGTGTTTAGGTGAAATGTTTATGTTGAACTGCCTCAGTGACCAGAGCCCAAGCAGAGCCACTGCAGCTGCCCTCTGAAACAAAAGAGCATTCGGGTGGCACACGCAGGTGTATACGCACACCACGAAGGGACCAGCCTACCTGCAAATATCGGAGGAGAAGAAGCGCAGTATCTGATCCTTCTTAACAAACGGTGGGAATGATGCCCCATCTGTGAATAAAATAAAATAAGAGCTTGAAAGCAATTCCACTTAGAAGACATGATTTAATTTCTAGCTCAATTCTCGGCTGTTACTTTCCTATAAAGCTGTGAAAAAGGTAAACAAAATGAGTCATTTATGGGGAAAATATTTATGTAAGTTATTGCACAGTGACAGGCATTCCACAGTTAAGATTGTATTGTTTTTGAAAGCGAGCCAAATTATGGCAGCTATTTTCTTTTTTTCACAGATGTGAAGCTATATGATCAAGCCCATTAAAAACAGAGGATATGAAAAACAATCCTGCTCAATATGAATCCCAATACCTGTTGCCATTGCTTCAAGGTTGTGCAGTCTAAAGACCTAAACCTTTCTAGAGATGTTTGGTTCACTTGCAGTTATGGCACTCAGCGCTTACAAGAAACACAGCTTTAGACTTCAAAATGGCCTATTTAATAATTAGTGCTAAACATTTTTTCACCAAAGATTGCTCAAGTGGACCTCTTCTTTGTAAGCTGAGATCCTCTCTATAGCTGATGGAGAGAAGGAAGCACTTCTAGAGCACGACCCATCTCACCCCATGGTAAACATGCAAAATAGGTCAGAGGAATAGCACTTGGTGATGTCTTTTTCTCCACTTGTTATAAAAAGAACAGAGACAGCCAGTTCAGATGCATATTTCTGCATTGCAAGCATCCAGAGTTAAGTAAGAGGAAACTCTGCCATTTTCCCAAACAAGGTGTTGTAACAAACCTTTAACCAGTACATTTATTACTTCTTGCTATAATTTCTGTTTAGTTTCTTAGTCAGCAGCCATAACCAAGTGATTAAAAACAGCTGTGATATCTTTGAATCTAGTTGGCAAGAGTGAGAAAGCTAAATTACATACTGCCACTTGCCCACTGCTGACAAAAGCACTTTTTCTTAAAGAAGATCCAAGATCATCCTAGACACACACTCTATTTCTAAATCTTGGCAGTCTTGGAGAGTTTGCAAACATGGCCTCATTTCAAGCCCCATACAAGAACACTGCTTAATATTTTTATCTAGATATTTACTTATACTATACATGCTGCGCTTTGGTGTGAAAGCTTGCAAGATAAGAAGGAATTCTCACACTTACAAGACTTTTTAAACCTGCTGCTTCTCTAAACACATGGTCTCACCTGAGCAGTCACACTGAATGCTCTTGTAAACTGTGCGATAACCTTTGCTAACACAGAAAAGCTCCACATTTTCACTGTACTGGAGCACTTAGTCTAGTTAGCTGAGTATGTTTATTCCATCAGCTGCGGAAGAAGATAAAACAAAAAGCTGACCCTGGGAAAAAAGGGTTCAGGCGCCACAAGAAAGAAGGAAAGTCATAGAACCTAAGAAAATATTGCCTCTTATAACATTAATTACATAGTTTAAAAAGGAACTAATCCTTCCTGATTCACAGACTTCTGGAAAGTCAGACTCTTGTGATGTATTTGAAATACTTCAAAATATCTTGCCATGTGCTCTGGGTTATAATGAAAATGGTCTATGCTAGGTAAAGCAGCACAGAAAAGGGGAAGAAAAAAAAACCAACCCAAAAACCTGCTCATTTTGATACTCGCTCACTGAAGGCTTACAGCTCTCTGCAAGATCCTCCACCATGACATCTGCCAGCCTCAGCTCAACAGATTCTGGTGTCCTCACAGAGACGCTTTCACTCATCCAGAATAAAAATATCATCTTGAACAAATGTCTCTTAAACAACTCAACTGTTTTCATATGCATTCCAAAAGTAAATTCAAAAATATTCCTCTCTAGTTTATTCATCCCAAACTAAACTACTTCTCTTCTTTATCCCTTTTCACTTGCTAGTGGCCTCCAGACCACCTGTCTGTGAGCCTTTTCCCTTGTCACCTCAATTTCTTTTCATATCTCAGTAAAAAAAAAAAAATCTGTCCATTCTGGTGCATTTAATTTTATTTTTCAACACTGTAAATGAATATACATTATTAGAATGCAAAGATAATTTTCAATTGCTATAGCAAAGAAAAACAACCTTAGCTATACTATACCATAAAGATAATTAGTAGAAACAGAGAGCTGGATTCTTTTCTTGTGTCTCTTCCACATCCACTCTAGCTGAAGAGGGTGTGTGTACATGTATATATAAAATAACATACAATAATGTATACTATATATATTATAACAGATACACACATATGCATGTATAATAGTAGTAGTATGTATACATTCATATTTATATAGACATTTAATATACAGAATACAAAACTGTCGAAGCCCAGGGGAATTAACTTAAATATCGTATTTCATTATTTCCTTGCAATATCAAGAAATGTGTTGAAGTTTTAAAAAGCTTTAATAGGCTTACCTGTGCCATTAACCAAATCACAGTGACCTTCCCAGTATGAAAGATTCCTTTAAGATAAAAAAAAAAGTCATGCAGGTAGCATATTATACCATGTAATCCATTTCATTACCTGTATTGCTAAATATAACTGCTCTGGTATAAGCCTGATCCATTAGCAAAGTCAGAGGATAGAGATGTTCATTCATTTAAAAGACGTGTAGATGAGGCGCTTAGGGACATGGTTTAGTGGGCATGGTGGTGTTGGGTTGACGGTTGGACTCGATGATCTTAGAGGTCTTTTCCAACCTTAATGATTCTATGATTCTAGGATTCTATGATTCTATTCATTCAGATAAACTATATGATGCATTAGAACAGGATAAAAGGGATCTAGCTACTTAAGTATGCAAAACAGAAGTAACTACTTGTATCAAAGTATCAAAAATTGTCTTAAATCCAAGCTCCTAACAGAAACGTGAATAGCTGAAAGAGGGAGGTGTTTTTGCTAAGCCCAGGGCTTGATCAAGCTTTCCTTGAATTGTTGAAGATTTTCCATTTATCTATAGCTCTTAGTGAATCGAGCTTTAAAAGCCATACCTTGAAAATAAGTATGGTTTTTAATTATACAATGCTATGATACCTTTTGTTTTTATAGCTTTCAATTATTGCTGTTTTTTTAATATCTTCTTTCCCAGTATAGACTTTGTAAAGTCCGTCGAATGTCCCATTATACTGTAACAGACACAAGAAGAAGGAATAACAGTTAGATGTACTGAACCAGACTGTAGCATTGTCAGATTTTTCTTCCTCACAGCAGCTGCCTTAATTTTTATTCAAAGAATGATAACTGAAGGCTTTGCCTCCTCATTGGTTTCACTTACCGGGTAGAAGACTCCCAGAACTGGGTCCAAGGGGAAGGGGACCTTGTTTAAGAAGGGATCTTTGTATCCCCACAGTAATTCTTTAACTGTTCTGTTCTGCAGCATGGATGACTTAGAAGCTTTAATCCAAGTATTTAATAGTAGTTGTATAAAAGTGTTTGTATACAAGGCAGGTGCAGCCTACAACAGCAATAAAATTAATGTTTAGCATAAAATTCTGCATGTGCTCTGGATCAAAACCACAGAGACTGACTCCAAGAAACCTCTGGCAAAGCCGGTTTCCTGAGTTGCAGCTCACTGTAAGTTAAGTTTCTAATGAAAACTGACACTTTAACAAAACAATTACTGGGCATAACTTACACAAAGGCAGACAATTTGTCTTTACTGCTTACATGAGTTCACTAGATCATCCCTAATCACAGAATCACAGAACAGTTGAGGTTGGAAGGGACCTCTGGAGGTCATCTGGTCCAACCTCCCTGCTCAAGCAGGGCCACTGAGAGCCAGTTGCCCAGGACCACGGCGAGACGGCTTTTGAATATCTCCAAGTAATAATCTCAAATCCCTATCTGTGTAACATGGTTTGTACCACTTTTGGTTTTCTCTCTCTTTTCTGTCATCTCCGTGTGTCACATACTTCAGACTCATTCACGCTATAAACATGTAAGTAAAAACATACAAGCCTTGTTACTTATTGGCTTAGATAAGTGGTTTAGATTTGCTGTCATGCTAGCAGCAATACATCTGCATCCTGCATAAAACTGATCAAGTGCTGAATCTCCATTATTTCTTTACTTAGAAAGAATACATATTTGCAACAAACAAGTCCTTTCTGAACAGCTTCAATTCTAAATACTGGATAACTTTTCCTAATTCAATGAAGAATAATGTAGATTTACCAGCAGTAATTGTAATGAACGTTCCCAGAGGCATAAACACAAAGTCAAGTCCCTGAAGGCACTGAATAACTTGTGGAAAGCAAACAGAAATGATCTATGTTGGCCTGCCTGGTGAAGCAGGAAATTGTAACAATTTTGGTAAGTAAATCTGTGTAAAAACAAGTTATTCTCTTAGTGCAAGTGCTCAGCCCTTTAGTAGACCATCTCTTTGTACTTAGTGCTATGGGGATAGCAATGGAATAGTCTCTTTTACCCTCATTTCCTGCCCTCCTCAACCCCATGAATCTTACACTCTTGTCTGAACTTGAACACAAAGTAAGCAGAAAGCAAGGATATGACAAGATTATGAGATAGAGGAGATGTGGGTTCAGTCCTCTCAGGGTTAAGAAAGTGTGAAAAACATCTCTCTGAATTCTCTTGTGAGTATTTTGACGACAAGGTTATGATATAAAAACTGGGCTCTACTAGATTGAAGTCAGTGCTGTCAAATGAGATAGGCAGAGCCTCTCTGGGAATTTGGGCTTACACCAGTTTGTTTCTGAACAGCAAAATGGGGCTTGGATCCTCTGTTCCCATCTCCCCTGATGCGGCTGCTTCCAGGCATGAGCCTATGCTTAGACCCATAAAGAGCTACATGGTCCAAGGCATGGGAGCTGAGCAGTGTAAGTTAATATCGTGACATGAAGGACTCTGAGTACAGGAAAAAAGAACAGCTTTCCAAAAGAGAGATGCTGGCCTAAATTAGGACACAGGCAGAATATATCTGGTCTGAATAAGGTCATTTGTCTTTATTTATTAGGTCTTTTCTCCCTAGAGAAAAGAAGGCTCAGGTGGACTTCATCGCAATATTCCAGTACTTAAAGGGCAGCTAGAAAGAAGATGGAGGCTCTTTCTTCACAAAGAGCGACATGGAGAAGACAAGGGGCAACGGGTACAACTTGCACCAGGAAAGGTTTCATCCTGATAGAAGAAAGAATTTTTTTACACTGAGAACAGTCAATCACTGGAATGTTGCAAAGTCCCCATCACTGGAGGTTTTCAAGGTGCAATTGGACAGGGTTTTAGAAAATCTCATCTAGGCTTCCTTTCTCAGAAAAGATTTGATCAGATGATCTCTTGAAGTCCCTTCCAAGATGGGCTTTTCTATGATTCTGTGATTGATTCTATGATTCTATATCGTGTTAACACCAAGCATCTCTTCACTCTGCCCCTAACACCTACCCTCTCACAGTGGTCCTGAACACTCACACGCAGATGCCACAGAGCTAGTGCAAGACAATAAGGCAACACAACCAGGGCTGAATATAAATATGAAAACTGTAAACGTCAGTCAAGGGCAAACATTCTCAGCCTGTGACAACACAAAAACATCTGGACTGAAAAGGCTCTAGCACTGCTCTAGGTGGTGATCCCTGTGCTTTTCTTTGAAGGACTAAGGTCTCAGCAGGAAGGAGAGCTCAGGGGCTGTCATTGCAGTGGTGCTGAGGGGCACCATGGGGAGCAAGCAGCTGGGGCAGCGAGGCCATGCATACACCGAGCATGGGATTTAATACAGCCTCCCCTGCAAAGCAGGACTGAGGATATTATGGAAAGAGTATGGCAAATCCATCTTGTACTGTTCATGCTGTACCTCACACAGAAAGGGAATCCATCCACAAACTCTTGATTCATTCCCACACTAAAATTGACTAGGAGGATGCTTTTTGATGCATCCCATCCAAACTGATGACTTTGCTTCCATTGACAAGAGCAAGTCAATTTTCATTTACCATTAAGATTACCCTGGGAATATAAGGAAACCTTAATATATATGTAATATGTACTCAGAATTTTATTTCTTTTTTAAAGACTGTAATACAGCTATTCTCAGTGTAGCTCACACTCATGTCATCTGAGTTCACAGACAGGAAGCGTATCCTGTGGCAGTTTCAGTATTACTAATGCTAACTTCTCCCCTATTTCCTCCAGTATCTCAACACTTGAATGTGGACATTATGGTTTTGTTTCTTTACTTACAACAACAGCAAGGTTGAGGCACGTGATGGTATCATTTTCTGTCCCAACAGACATATCAGGCTCAAAACGAGCAACATTAGGCAACATGTAGGATATTGTGCCATCAGAGTTTTCCGTGATATTTTCTTTGGGTAAATATCGCACCCTTGAAATACAAAATAAAAACACAGAATATTTTTAACATTTGATTTTCGAGACAACACATAACCATGCCTGACTGAAGTTTTTTGAAAAGTTGATGAACATTTTTGTAGATTAATGTTGAAGTATTTATACCCACCGAAAGGATTCTAAACTTTTCAACTGAATATATGTAAAAATTCCATTTCCTGTAAAGTATTTTTCTTTTCGAAATATTCCCTTAGTGCCTAATGGAATGTTTTTTTCTTGATACTAAATTGAAAACAAATATTTCTTTTTTATTTTTATTTCAATAATGGACCTTTTATCTTTTTATATTTTGTTTTAACTTAATTATATTTTGTCACATTTTTTTCTAAGCTTTCTCATGGTGCATGTAATTAGAAGGGGATGACTCAGAATGGTTAATAAACACTCTGAGGTTTTGATTTGATAGGCCTGTGTTGCAACAAAACAGATTACAGGTTAAATCCATGATGGGAGTCACTTTGATAACATTTCATATGCATGTGGAGATCTATAAGCAGTCTTTCAGCTCCACTGAAATTCTCATAAGCCTCTCAAGCATGCCCGGTCAGCAGATCACTAAGGTACAAATCTCTGAGCTGCTGCAGTTCTAGCTTTAGCTCAACTTTTCAAGTCCCTGTCCTCTTGCTGACCCCTCTACGGATAAATAATTAAATATTTAAAGGGAGATTGAGAGGGAGAGACTCAGTGTGACAGTGATTCAAGTAGACCCAATATCCCAGGTGAGCATGGCCACAGCAGTGAGAAAAGCTATAGCCATCATTTCTTACATAGTCTCATCTAGGCTTCTGGCAGAGATTTGTCCCTGAGAAAATAGGCACCATCACCACCATTAGAGTAAAACATTTCTGTTTAGCGGGAATTCACCTTCTGCAGAATTTCTTAACTGGTTAGTTTCCCGATTCCTGTGTAACCACTTCCTATGTCTTCCCAGGTACTCTATGAACCAAGAGTTCTCTATTTCCAATGAGAAATAAATAATCTTTTAGGCACCAAAGCACCTCAGCTGTAGATGCTGCAATGCAAAACCATCTTGCAAATATAATATACATCCCCAAACATATCAAGAAAGAAATATCATTGTAGGAAAGCAATTTCATAACAAGGGTGCCAGTGACAGCTGGGTACTGAGCTTAATGACTCAGGAAGCATCAACTAGTCCTACGTCGACATCACGTTTAAAATTAAGCAAATGATTAAAAGCTTCCCTGAATGGGGATGGACTGCTGCATCTAGGCCCTAGCTAGTACATTCAGAAAAAGGAATGCTTTTCAGAGGAAAAATTGAAAAAGGAAAAGCTATAGATTAAAAATAAGTCATAAAGGAACAAAGAAACAAAACATTATTAAAATAAATATGAATGATACATGGGTGAGAAGATAAGCTCTTGGGTTTATGGCATTTGGCATATTTTCTTCTATGTTAAAAGTTGGCAAAAACTGAACAGCAACAAATGCAACTGTGCCTGTGTGTTGTTGTGGCAAACACCTTGCTAATGAGCAATCGTTTTTCACAAGAGCAAACAGCTTCACACCCAATTACCTATTTCTATATGTGTTTTCCTAATGTGAGACCCAGTACAGAAAGTGTTTGTGATTGCTGTGTGTAGCTGCAATTTAGGCATTTTTGTCAAGTCTGACTAAAATATGACGCTGGAATTTCAAAAACAAATTTTAACTCAGCAGAACTTTCTCTGACTTTAGCAAACCTGATATGACATGTCACATATTCAGGGGGTTTTGCTTACCTGTACGTGTAAGGTCCTCTTTGTTCAAGTTTTGGACGTGCTCCTTGGTCTAATACCTCTGAAGGATTTTGCACATGGAAAACCCAAAATTGCCTGTAAACTGAACTTCCTGGCACAAGCCAATTTTCAAAAGCAATGGTACCATTTGCAATGACAGCTTCCTAAAAGGACAAAAATCGAAACTAAAATTAACCACAAAAAATGACTGACAAGCTGCAGATGATTGTAGAAGATTCCCAAACAAACAGGAAAAAAAAGATGTTTTCTCATCAACGTGAGGCATACAGCACACATTTTTGGCCAACATTTGAAGGCAGCCTGACATTCCCGCTCAGTGACAGCAAAAGTGAGTCCCCCTAAAATAAGTGACCACAAAGCTGATATAATTGCTACTGCAGCCAGTAGCAAAACTTTCCTACTGCTGTGGTCAGGCATTGCCTTAGTTCCCAAATACTTGCCAAATCCACTGATAATTTGTAAAAAGAAAATCTTTGAATGACTGAATGATACCCAGCAGTTTTTAGAATCCATAAACTACTTTTCATACATTTGCAAATAGCCCAGGGAAGGAAATGAGAGTTATCTCTGAGCATTACTCAGGCACTAAGTAATTTTGCACCCAGAGAAGCAAATAGTGTTCTTGCAGGACTGGTTTTTTTTTGTCAGAAAACTCTTGCCACCAAAACTGAGAGTTTCTAAGAAAGTTTTGATAATGTTTTGTTAGGAAGGTTCCCCGGTACAGGGAATGAGGGAAAAATATGGATATGAGGACAAGACAGGACATCAGGAACCACTCTAGAGTAACCAACAGCTTTATGTCTGTGGCACTCAGCTATAATACGGTAAATGCCTATTCAGACCTTGGGACTGTACAGTGCGAAGGAGAGTTTGAAGGTATGTTTCCTGTATTGTCAGGGGAATGCCTGCTCTGCCTGGTCTACATCAGGCCCCTTTCTATATGATTTTCACAAAGTCCTGCGATAATGTTTTTCCCCTTGGTGGCAAAAATTTAGAAAATTTTTTTTCAATAAGAAGAAAAACCTAGGCTGCCTGGCTCCAACATATAAAATGCTTTTTTATAGGAGTTGTGCCATATTAATTAATTAGTTTGCACAGCTCACAGAGTCCCAGGAAGAAAAAGGCTGGAATCCCTCCAGATAGCAAGAAAAGACATTTTAAATTACAATTTGCTAGATTTTCTTTCTACCTTAATTTTCTGCCTCTAGAGTTTACTTAGCAACCACCATCAATAAAAAAGGATACTACCAATTAAGAACCACTGCAGTTAGAAATGAATACCATGTCTTGGAGAACTCGTAACACAGGTAGGGCTTTGTCTATGGAAAGCCTGTATGGTGGAGTTGCAAATGCCTTGCTGGTGGTGTAAAGCACTGGGCTTGCTGTCTGAATATCTGGTATAATTTATGTGCATTTGTGTGAGAGGGGAAGGAAACCTTGCCACAGTAAATGTGTTATCAGCTTGAGGTCTTGCACTCAAACCCCACAGCTAAAATTCTCTTCAGCCTGGTTTTGCAAACCTCAGGAGGCCGAAGACTCTATCAAAGCTGTGATCCAGCATGGGGCAGACCATCTCCTTGGTGAAGAGAGGAATGCTTACATGATTTGGAAATCACTTTTTCAGTTTCCACAGAGAATTGCTCAAAGGATCTGGGAGAAGCAGGCTGACATAAAGAAACGCGCAGCTTGGTCTGCTCAGAGTCTGTCTGCGATCTGTAGTCAGCAAGGTCCTGGGATGGGGGCAGATGCCAGGATTTGACCTCCTGCCTCTGTGAACTAGGATAGGGAAATGATTAAGGATTCCTGGCAGCTATACGGTCAAGAGGACAAACTAATCTCTCTAGAAGTCAACAGCATACAGGCACAGAAATGAATAGAGAAGTTTCGACCTTGTGATGATAGATTTTAAAGCAGGGTTACTTGCTTCTTAAAAGCTTTAAGTTTTTCCCTCCATCCATTCCTCCCTCTCTTTATAGCCCTTTGCTAGGGGTTATAAGAGCACAGAATGATATGCAAATTCCCCTGCCACTGGAGAGTTTGCTCAGAGTGCCAGAGCCATAGGACCTCTCCTCCCATCCTTGAGAGGCACAGAAATAGTCCCCAACCTGCCTCTAGCTTTAGACATTTTGGGCACTTTGAAAAATGTTTATTCTGCAATGATCACATCTTATGACTTTGTGTTGACTTGGAAGAATATAAGGAACATGCTTCCTCACAGCTTTCTCCATGTAAATGATATTATTTTTTCCAAAGGGTGGATCTTTGCCTCTAATCCTCTCTCTGCTATTGCAGGGAAAGCTGAGAGTGTGCAAGGACTTTATACCGGCTTTTTAGTACAACTAGGACAACTTTCCATGTAAACTGAGACTGTAGCCTATGTGACGAGCCTTTTAATATACTTTTTGTACTGCCCCTTACTGCACTTTACTATACTATGTACTTTCTTATCAATATAGAACAAATTTGCTGTCCACCTAAAGAGGTGGGGTGGCTCTCCTTTATTTTTCATGCAAGAATAACTACTATGTCCGTATTATACCCTTAGGAAATGCCAACAGAGAAAACTTACTTTGGGCATTGTACAAAGAGGTCCCTGGGACCTGAGCACATGGGACAGCCAGGTCACAACAAGTTACTGTGTGGATCTGCAGCCCACCATTTACTCTGTGCTAATGCCACCATGGACACTCTTGGGGGATGCTTCAAGGGGACAGCTGATCCAACCTTCCTTTGTGCCAGCTCTCATTCCTCAGGGAGCTGTTTCTGCCTGCCAGACTGGAGGAATATTATTTCTTTTTTTTTTTGTGTTACCTTTCTACCAGTGAGCCACTTGGCTCAGTGGTGTGGGTAGGGGGAAGGAGCAGATGAGAACCAGAGCTAAAACAAGGGAAGCAGCAGGACAAAAGAGGGAGAGGGAGGAAGGGAGCAAGACCATTATTTTTGGTGGCATTCAGCCATTATTGTTAACAACATTTTTTCCACAAAGGAGGTGTGCATGATTCCCTGTCACATACTTCGAGAGTGCGAATGGCGGGTTAAAGCAGAAGAAAATCTAGAGCTCTGTCTTTATTCATGCCTTCATTTAATAAAACTAATATCCTCAAACCAGCAAGCCCTTGGGTTTTGGCTGTCTGATCACTGGTGAGGCCAGCCCTAAATATTAGCCCTCTCTATGGCTGGTCACTTGTATATTCCCCTAGTAACACTGCCATGCTTTGTGATATTATGAAAGGTAGGGTAATTTGGGAAACTACTAATTTGCAATTGATAATATGAAACACTTCTCAACTCCCTAGTCAACCTACATCAGCTGTAATGTCTTATGCAATAGTTAACTATTGTTAGCAAAAGTAGCTATACAATATGTAATTGCTACACAGCCAAGTTCATCTCATGACCTAACTGTGCAAGACTGAGTGAAATCAATGGGAACTTTAACCCCTTTTGTTTCTGACACAATTTTCCCCCAACTTGTGGTGGGTCAACTGGCAATACATAAATTCAAGAAATGCTGAGCAGTCGGCAATAGAAGCTTGCTGTACTTTGTTGCTTTACACTAAATTCAGCCATCATGATTTCTGATTAATACAAAATGTAAAACAAAGTTGATGTCTTGACAAAGGATCTGTCCAGATGGACAAAAGGTGCCATTTCCTGGGAACTGAGAGATGCCATGAATACTTTAGGCTGCAACAAAATTGTTACTAGTTTATCTCTATGTGTTGGGCTGCATATGTAAGCTCGAGGAAACAAACAATACAATTCTGTAAAACTGAATAAGTTAAGTTCCAGGGAAGCAAATAATCTTCTTCCATTTTGCAGCTGAAGATACAAATAGCCATTTATTACTTTTTAAGTGATGATAATTAGCTTATTATTAGCCTTTCTATTCAGGCTTTGTTGGATAAAAACTTTTAGTCCTTTTTCAGTCCTTGATCATAAAAAATTATGGAAGCCAATCAAGTTTATCATTGATAATGCTGGAATATGTGTGATTAGATCACTTATATTATGCTGAGAGCCAGCAGTTGCTTTAGCTTCATTAGTTTAGATAAAGAAGTGGCATATGAATGTCACAAACACAATTTTAAATTAGAAGTGTTTCCTGTGCCTCCAGTAGCTGAGGAGATATAATCTGGCCAATCACAGAGAACAGATGTGTAGAGACAGATGGCTAAACATAATAATAGTTAAAATTGATAGCTTTATTTCTAAAAATAGCAGAGACTAACCCTGAGGACTCTACAGAAAGAGTGCAGAACTGAGGTATTGTGGCAAATCATACACCATTCTGTGGTTATCAATTATCAATTCATCAGGAATTAAATATATTGAGTAACATTATGTGACTTCTGTTAACCTCCGGAGCTCACGCGCTCAGGCAGAAACCAAAAGCTCTTAGAAAAGTGGTGATAAAGATTATTCTGGCAAATGAATCAGCTACCAATGAGTTTGAGTGGTTAGACCTAGCTGGAAAAAAAAGCTGATCAGCTGGGAAAAAAAAAAAAAGTTTTTTCATAACTGAAATGATGGGAATTTTGCCTAAATAAATAATATTGATTTAAGGGACGGAAAGGCAAAAAGGAGTAATTGAGCCATGGCAAAATATCTCCTTTCAACAATATCAGAGGCAAGCTTTCTGATTTGTTGTTTTGAATTCACCTTTTCTTTTGATTTTTTTTTAATGTTAGACATGATAATATCTAATAATAATTATAATAGACATGATAGCGTGCCACCAAAATGTGTGGAGTCAGTTAAAAAGGTACATTTTGATAGCCTCCAACAAAATATTTTTTGTAAAGAACTTTGAAACTTTCATGTTTCACTCCTAACTTACCAAGGACAGTTTTCTAAATCCCTAAGGCCTTCATGGAAAGGCATCTCTCCCCTTGGGATAGATTCAGTGTTTGGGAAAATTAGGATTTTTGCCCTTTGGTATTGAAATCAAAGGCACCTTTTAAGGAGGAAGTCTCCTCTCCCTGAATAGTATCAGAGCTGAAATAGCTTAGTACTAATCCCACTCAAGATGCTGCTGGTGGTGTCATTTTGAGTGTGCTCTTCAAGTGACAGTTTCTTGAAAGAGCCTCTAAAAAGATTCAGAAAATGTACATAATGTTGAAATTCTTTAAACCTGCTGGAGGCAAGAGTAGAAACAGCTTATCCCAAAAAGATCTGAGACACAGGTAGAGCAGTCTGGGGTTGGAGAAGATAGCAATGTGTTTTGCGTTGAAGCACAGATGTATATTAATAAACGGGAATACATGAAGAGATGACATCTTGGTGTTACATGGACTTTGGGTTGTCCACCCATGGATTGTTCATGGGTGGAGAACAGCACCTACCTGATAGGAGATAACAGCCTATACCCTGAGAGTCTCTGTCAAATTTCTAAGGGCACCTGAGATTGTCTATACACTTGCAGATGCTTTCTCTTTGCTGCAACAACAGTATGCAGCCTTCCAGCAAAATACGTCCTGCAGTGTTTACTCAGGCTAATCTCTCAATGACTGCAATAAAGAAGAAATGAGGCTGGCAGGGTTTGGTAAGCTGCAAAGATGTGTGCTTAAGGGAAGCATGCTCAGGCTTCTGCTGCTAGAAGAACAAGAATGGCAAGAACTATTGATTGCATTGATTTTTGAAACTAAAGTTGTCCCTATTTATTGGAAGATGCTAAGAAGCTCAACTGGACTTGCTTGAGAGTAAATTGATGATAATGTGATTTGACTAAATCTTGATAACAAGTTAATTTATGACAATTTGACTTGTTATAGTATGAAGTGCCCTAAAACTATTCATTCAGGAGAAAAAAAAATTATTCAACATTTGTTTCTCTAATCCAGCAATAACATTTTATAGCAAAATTCATTTCCCCCAGAAATATTTATTTGGTCTTACTGTGTTGCTGTCAATTTGTGCAAAGAGCTAGGATTTATTCTGAGATAGAATAGGCAGAGGAACAACTAGGGGTCTTTTTTCAAGCTTTGGACTGTGCAGAATTTAAGACATGATTTTACTTATAATGGTGATAGCTGAAAGAGTTTTTCCTTTTTATTAAAAATATGCCATTTTGACATTTGTTTTCACCCAGTGGGTGAGGACCTAAGATCAGGCTTTGCCTCATATGAGTCCAAATGGAAATATAAATGCTTACAGGCCATATCTGAGAGAACATCTTGCTCATTAGTTTTTTTTCCTGTCCTAGAGTCTCTATTCTTGAGAAATTCCAAATAAAATTGTCATTGAAACTGATCTGTTTCTACCAAACATTTCCTTAAAAAATGATATTTGCAAAAGTGAAAGATTTCAGAAAAGATGTATTTTCAGTATGCTCTGCTCAGCAGACCTGTTTCCTTTGCAGTCAGCTCTATATTTATCTTAAATAGAACTGCAGTGAATAACAAATATTTGTTTTTCTTACTAGCCCTTTCATCAACACAGGTAAATCAGAATTAGTTAGATTCAAGTCCCTCTTGAGCTGAACTGATGGCATATTTCAGCTGTTGCACCTTGGCATATCTTTTCTGAAAAAGAATTGTCTTAGAGTCTCATGGTCTCACTAAAGAGTCAGCATGATAAATAGGAAAAAAGTAATCTAGTATGACTTGTGCTTAGGAAAAAAGTATCTATTTACTTAAATAAATAAAGCCTCTACAAATTTACTCTTTTATGTTTTATATGAATACTGGTCCAAGTTTTCCTTTTTATATATCAAACAAGCTGCCTTGAAAGAGGTACAAGCATCTGAAACATGATCACAATGCAGAAAATTATAAAGAGGTTGAGGAAAAAATTACTCTGTCTAATACTTTACCACTAAGAACCGATGCAGGTATAATTTCATATGTAGACATTTGCAAACCATGCTGTATAACTGGTTCATTATTGTAAGTAAACAGATGAACACATAACATTGCTAATACGTGTAATTTGCTTTCAAAATACTTAATGGCATAAGACAACTCTCTGGATTAACTCAAAGTTGATATTTAATGTAAGGACATACACATTTTCAAAACTGTGCTTCCTAGAAAACCTGCCATTTCCTCAATATGTCAATCAATTAAAATTATTTGCAAATATAGAAAGTATGACTTTTTTGTAAAATGTTGCAAGGTGGGTGAGATATTATCTAGTGAGAATTATTTTTTTATTCTCTATAAATTTGAAAATTTCATGAAAAATACAATAAGAATTGGAAAATTCCTCTACAGTTAGGTTTTCATTGAGTTTGCTGACAAAATTAACATGTTATGTGTAGAAACCATTTTTTCCAATTTTTTAAAAAAGTGATGGTAGAATCTAGGCAGGGCCTCAACAGACAGTTTAACGTTTCCTGACAGTTTATATATCCACCTGCTCAATTGACTTCAATAGCTGTTGAGTTAAGGGCAGTCTTCCAGAAGGGCCTTTGAATAAGTATCTCCAAGATCTCCACAGTCTTCAGCGCCACAGCAGATCATTAGGAAGATTAACCATCAGCCAAAGACCTTAAGATTTCTAGATTTTTAACTGTATGAGAGCCCATTTTGGGTGCAGTGACTCCAAGGAGACTCCATGTCTCCATGGTGGACACCCCAGGGCTTCCATGGTCCTTCACTCCAGATTACTCCATGATCTAGACCCTCAGTTATACACCCTTTTCACGGAAGATTTAACAAATTAACTTCATTTTTCTTTAAAGACAAAAGTAGATTTTAAAGAAATAAAATCATCTAAAAGACCAGAAAAAAATTGTGTCTGCCAGGGCTACAACACTCTACTTCAGTTACTCTTCACACTCCTTGAATCAAGGAGATGTATTTGATCAGATCCTGTGGTCTTGCGCAGCACATTGGCTTGGATCATATAGTCACAGAATGTGAGCTGAATGCATGCAAGTGTAGGATTAGATTCTGCATCAGAAGTTTGTTTAGATTATTTATAGTACATAAATATAAGTGCATGGAGTGAGTACCAAAATAAGAAAAAAACACAGAAAAATAAGTAAATGCATCAAGTGGGGAAAAAATAAAGAAACTAGAAACAAACATAATTAAAATAAAAATTAAAAAATGCTTACTTTTAAATTACATTACTGAAAACACATCTTGAAAACAATATTTTGGCTTCTCATGTGAAGCATGAAAGACAGCAAGCAAGTAAACATGACAATATAATTAATATATTAAAAAAAAGTATTGCTGCAGCATCTATTCCCAGGGAAGTTTGGATTGCATATATTACAAAAAATAGGTTTAATAAAGGAAAAAAAAAAAGAAAAAAGCAGAAACAGAACACAAGATTTAGAAATAATGACTATTCAATAACCACAAACCATATAGATTGAAAAATAAAGAAAAAAATTTGTACCTTTTTTATTGCTTTGCCTATTAGGTTATCTCCAACTGGTATCAGAACTCCTCCGAAGATAGCCAGCACAGCACCGATGATGGCCCCAGTGAGGAGCCCACAGTTTCTGTTACAGCCCATTCCTCTCCTTTGTCAGGGTGAAGATAGACAATGTAAAAATATTCTTGCTGTAAGGCTTGATGTTTTTTTCTCACTTCTTGATCCGAATAGACTCACTGATGTTCCTGAGAGAAGCTGCTAACATAAGGAGAGAGTGAACAAAAAAAATCACATTCCAAAGCTCAAAGTACAAAGTGCATGACGTGAAGCAGGTAGAAAGATAACATGTCAAAATCAGCCAGACAATGGCAACCAGTGCCAAAAAAAAAAAAAAAGTTGTATGTACTTTTGCCAAGCTAGTCACTTGTTACAGATCATTATCTTTTTTTATTCCATTAGTCTTTTTTTTTTTCCCTTGGCTGTGTTGCAAACTGACATAATTATTATTTGTCTGACACTTCCTGAGGCAAGCACCTTCTCTAAAATCTCTCTGTGCCAAAGGAAGAGGCTATAGCCCTCTGCTTTTTTCACAGCCTGCAATGCCCATGGCTCCCACTTCAAGCAAAACCAGGAGTTTACACCCCTAGCGTGAGCTATCCAGGCTGTTTCTGCATTATGCCGGTAAGGAAGTCCTCAAGGTCCATCAGCACCTTGGTGGGAACGGCAGCCTCCAAGGGGAGGCACCTGCGAGAAGCCTGTCATTCCAGATCTCGGTCAGTCCACAGTCTACTACTGAAGGGGTAAAACTTTGTTTTGGCAACTTCATGACAAAGGCACGACTGGATTTTCCTTTTAGAGCTGCATTCTTACCATCACCTAGTTTCATCACTCCCAATTGCCTTACAGAAAGACTGACTTCTTAAAGAGAGCCTAGATTTTGATCTTTGAAAGATGTAACACTTTGTATTTCAAGATCATTCAGTATCAGAAAAAAAAATACCTGCAATTACTCATTGGAAAACAACAGTTGCTGGTAATATGTGCTAACATATCTTAAGATCTGGCCCCTAGTGAAAGGTGTTGTAAAGAAAATCAGAATGATACCAGTGCTGAGATATATGGTGAAACATAAGCTCCCAGCGATAGTTTTTCCTATTTGTTCCTGTTTATGAATAACTGAGATAAAGAGCTGCCTAATTTCCAATTTATTCTTGCTCAGGAATTAATCACATCCACAGAATTTGCAGTTTTATTATTTGCTTTAGACCTCCAGCTAACAGAAAGTCTGCCGTTTTCTATTTTAGATACCATTGGCCATATCCTTTTTACTCTTACCAATTTCTGTTTGTTAACATGTGATCATCTCTAAATCAATCTTAAAGCAGGTATTAGTTGCAGAGTTAGTTACGCATTCAAGGCCAAACACAGAGAGCAAAGGAAAACAGAAAGATGGAGTGGAAGAACAACTCAACCTGAATTCCCAGTTTACTCATGAGGATTAAAGGGTTAAAAAATCTTCATAGATTTCTAAATAGTAAAGCAGGTGTAGGAATAGCATGTCTTTTATTTTCATAAATGCAGTTATGAGGTCCTTTTATTGAAAAAAGAACACATACAGCATGCACTGACGTATAAGGTACCATGGTCAACAGGTTAATGATGTGTCCTCCCATGTCCAACCAAACTCACAATTATATCATACCTGTACCTGAGCCCAGACTGCCCCTTTCAGCTGTGTTGGAAACCCACCTTTTGCCTGCTCTTGCATTAGCAGCAGTTTATGGGTCCCTTGACATTAACAATGACTATTTCAGTACATTTGAGCTTATTTGGTATTTTAATCATTTCTCCTTGGATACTTGCAAGTAGAATGACCGAAAGACTACTTGCAATCTCAGAAAAATACCTTTCTTACAAAAGTCAGCCAGTCCTGCCACCTGCCACCAGGTGATTCCTTGTGGTTCCCATATCAAAACTTTACTCTTTGATTGCTTTACCTGCACATACAAGGGACCAAGACAGAAACCAGATTTGGCTAAAGTTTTTGACTTTGGCTAGAGACTGAGAAGAATCTCTTTAGAGCTGTAAACCTGGCTTTTTTGCTGGAGGAGGTGCACCTTATTTGAACCGCAGGTTTACTTAGTTGCTTTCCTCTCTACCAGCTCTGTTACTCTGTGCATTTGCACACAACAGCAATAGAAAATAATCAAAGAGATAACATCAAGAAAAAAAATCTATTTTCCCAAACTTTTCATGCAACCTGTTGCATTTTTCACAAAGATAACTGAAAGACAACTTGACTGAATTATAAAAACACCAAGCTATTAAAGGCTCTTCGATATAGTGGATGGATGCATAATGTGGCTAACAGCAAACTTTTCAAAGCAAACTCAAGTTAGAAATTCATTAGACCTGAAGAACTTTTAAGTGAAAGTCACTAGGACCAACTCTCATATCTTTGTAGATATGTTCAGATCAGGATCTTTAGTCTGGCAATAGCATAACTGTAATACTGCTGTGCAACTCATTGGATAAGCGATGTGGGGATTTAAAAATCTGACTGCTGTTACACACTGTAACAAATCTAAGGAGAAGCAGAAATTCTCAGTGAAATCAAATTCTGAAAAGTACGTATTTCAGGTTGATTTTTTTCCCCAATGCTCTCTATTCTAGCAGATTTTTTTTAAAAGTGTGGAAATACACATTTTAAAATTAAAAATGGAAATTATCTCTTCCATAAATGTTTAAAGAGGGCTTTTAGGCATTGTCAGACTTTTTTTCTTAGCTTACATACTGAAGCTTTTCAAATTCAACAGATATACACCTTCCACCAAAATACATTTCCATCTAAGTTTCTACAAGCTGTTCCTATGGATTTTTTTTTGTGTTAGGCAGACTAGGTATCTCTCATGAGCACTAGCAGCAAACAGCTAGAAAGCAACTGGCTGCTAATAACTTGTGCTTATTCCAAGCTTTTGCAAATTGTAAAATATTCACCCTTCTCCCACCAAACACAATGCAATAGCAGTCTAGACATATCTCAATTTATGCAATTCAAATTATCCATTACACAACTGCAATGAAGAGCACTCACAACATAACACAACACTCAGTTTCACATAGAAGTCAACAAGCTATTCTCATCTATCACAACTGAATGTAAAGTAAGAAGATTAAATAGAAATTTCCAATAAGAATGCAGTTGTGTCTGGGAATTCATATTCAAGCGAAAATAATTTACCTTAAGCAGAATAGAGAGTACCATAACAAAATTAGATATTGTCTATGAGACTATAGTATCAATTAAACTTAGATTGGACTACAAGATCAATAAGAATATTCACCCCATTCTAGTGTTGGGTATGTACTTTTTAATATTGTTTCAAATGTCCTTAATAGAATATTGACAATGGAAACGGTCCATTCAAATCTCTGAAAAGGCAATTTATAAGCAACTGAATAGGAGGAAACATGCAAAATGTTATTAAACTTTTTCTTGCCTACTTAATTTATACTTCTGTACATGTCAGTTTAAAGCAAGCCCTTATAAAAATCAAAGAATATTATCTGTATTTTCTTAATGATCCCTCCAGCTCTATTAGTAATTTTTAAACATTGTTTGACATGGCATTACTTCAATTCTGACAGAGAATCAGATTTATTGCCCCAAATGAGGGCAACTACATGGGGAAGAAGCAGTGTGTATAGTGAAAATTAAGATGGGCTTTGAAAATTCCTATTAAGAGTTTCAACCCGAAAACATGGTGTTTCTTTAAACATAATTCCAGTTTCTTCAAGGTCAGATCCTGAAATTATTAAGAGATACATTTGCAGGGAAGAGGTTATTTCTGCTTTTTTTTTTTTAAATCTTTGATGTACTTTGATATTATAGTTCAGAGGGTTTTATCTGCAATAATAAATACTACAAATATCACTTTAAAAAGATGCATTTCTTATAAATTCACATGACTCCAGAACTGTAGTTTCAAGCATATTAAATATCAAAAGACAGAATGCAATTGGGAAAGCCAGCAATACTGAACATAAAATACCATTGCTAACACAGTAACGAAGCATTTCACTAATACATGTAAAATGTCACTGTTTCTTGCAAACAGCTTTGCAAAATCCTGTGATTTTATTTTATATTAAAAATAAATCTTTTCAAGAGCTTTCCACCAGCTCATTTTAAAAGTATTTCTGAGGAAAACCCTCTGATTTTAAACATTGTATCATATGACTCACCTTGAATAAGGGCAACTGACTTTAAAGCTGAACGTACAAGTACTTAACACATGACTTACATCGAGTTATGAGAAGAGAAGCAGCTAAATCTCCCCACCAAGCACATAGCCTCTAAACTCCGAGGGAGTGTTTATATATTCCAAGAGACGTCAGTTCCCTCGTTATCTTTTCTCCAGAAGAAAAAGTTAAGTTGTATTGGTGTTGGGGGAGGGGGGGTGGGGGGCGTTATTTTTACAGTCTGACTAAAAGCCACTACCTACATCTCGTGGTAATATACTTAGCAGCTGCAATCTTTGTCAAATTTGGATCCAAGTGAGTCAAAGGTCAAGGAGACAAAAGGGTAACTTACTTATTTGGTTCCTGGTCACTTCTCCTCTAATATCCATTTGCTTTAGAACTGCTCATATTAGCAAGTTATGACTAACCAGTTCCTGACAGCGTCTTTAAGATACAGAATATTTTCAAATATTCTTTGCTATATGGCATGCTCTGCTGTATAAATAAAGCCTTACTATTGCTGTCATTCTCTGTCAAAATACAAGCTAAACGCCTTTGCAGCTTAATCATAGTGATAGTATATTTTCAAGTAATAAAAATCAGGAAATGTCAGAATATTTTTAAAAGGGATTTTTTTTTCACAGGTTGGATTACAACATTTCCTCGCAAAGAGCTAAGGCTCTTCCTCTTTTACTGAAAATTCAGTGAACTTCATCCCAGAAGATTCTTTTTCTTAATATATCTAATAATCAGTTATTTTTACACTAACATCTGTGTAGACCAAAGTGTCACCTCAGCACAGTGTCTACTAATAATTAACAATAATCAGTTTGACAAGGTTTTGCACAAATATTTTTTAAATAACTCCTCATCCCAGGTGAATTAAATGAATGGATTGTTTAAAAAGATTCTTCTGGCAGCAGCAAGACAAAGTGATTTATATTTGGTTTAGCTAATTATGAGAGAAAATATTCCTAAAAATAGATTCTCAGGTCCAGACTTTCAGGGTATCACACTGAATAGTTTGTGGTCCACATGTTTAGTATTTGTTACGTGTTTTGACTGATTGCTTACTGTTCTGTTTTTGATATTGCCCTATTTGAAAGTTAAGCTGTTGTGGAAGAATCTCCCTTCTTCTAATCTACTTCTGCTAAGTAAATCTAAGGTAGATGAAGATGAATAAATTTGAGGCTTTGTCTCCTCGTAGTGAAAGCAAGAGTGAAAGTGAGCCTGGTCCTTTGAAGGCAACCTGTAGGATAGTCTTTGTACAAGACTCGCTGCCAGGGAAAGTTGGTGACCCTGGCTAACTCCAGTTTCACATCCTTGAAAAGAGCAGTAAATTTGCTTTCCTCTATTCTCTAATTAGAGAGTGGAGTTTAACCAGTCCTCTACACTATGGTTCCCATGCACTACTTTTATGAATATTATCATCAATTATTTCTATTGGACATCTTTTTGTATGATGCTCTCCTGAGGATGCTCGTTAGTGATCCCCCAGCTTTCCTCCCAGGCTGCACTGCCTTTTTCACTGCTGATTTGTCTCTTCTAAGATGAAGTAATTCCGGTTACTCACACCTGCCCATGGAGATGTTCCCTACCATGCTCATCTTCTCCATTTGCATTGTATGGGATTCAGTGTGCACCATTCGTAAGGGAGGAAAATATCTACTGCTGTCTTTTTGTTGGAATCCTAAAGGCACTACAGCAGATGTAATGAAACTCAGTTTTCAACATATACATGCTGAGTTGTATCAGATAATTTTGTGACTTATGATATCCTATTATCATCCTATATAAGCAAAATCTCTTCTAGCAGGCAGTGCTTGGCAGCGAAATGAGGACTGCCAGGTTCAGCTGCAGAAACCAGCTAAAATGATTTGAAGCTAAGAGAGAAGTTGTGCACTTTTGGATATCAGTCATTTCTGTTTCTTAAAAACAAACCGAACCAAACCATAAGTACTCAATGGTCCTTCTGTGTTCTCTGGCTTCATATCAGAGTTCAGAGGTTACAGGGGAGAAAATACAGAGCAATGACAGAAAAAGCAAGAAATTATGTACTTCATTGGAGTCCCCAGTGGTGCGACAACAGACAAACTGGTCTTCACAAGGAGAAACTGCTGAGAAAGAGAAATAGTGTAAATGACACTCACATGCTTGATGATGACATAGAAAACCGCAGGAAGCAGAAAAAGACAAATGCAGTTGTTAACTCTAAATGAAGGCAATCCACATTTCCTGGAATAAACATACTACTGACAAGAAAATGCTGAAGAGATAAGTGTGATTCCTGGCTTTTCTGGACATCTCATAGCGGGGTCTTTTGGAAATCACTTTCTTTGGGGTGCTTTCTAAACACAGAGGAAACAAATGAAAGTTATCACAGAATCATAGAATCATAGAATCATTGAGGTTGGAAAAGACCTCTAAGATCATCGAGTCCAACCGTCAACCCAACACCACCATGCCCACTAAACCATGTCCCTAAGCGCCTCATCTACACGTCTTTTAAATACCTCCAGGGATGGGGACTCCACCACTTCCCTGGGCAGCCTGGTCCAATGTTTCACCACTCTTTCAGTAAAGAAATTTTTCCTTACA